TGGTTTTACTATGATGTGTTTTTTTTTTTTGTGTCTGTTACCACTTTTTCTCAGCTCTCACCAAACGGATTTCTTTCAACGATACGTCAAAAGATCACAAATCGTATCTAGTCGAAGACATTACCCTTCAAAATTGAAAAAATTTCCCTTGTTCCCCGTAAATGGGGGAAACCTCCAAAAAAATTACAAATTTAAAAATCGCTAATTTTCGAAATTTTTTCAATTTTTTTTACTAAAAACTGCCGTAACTTTTTCAAAAATGAACATATNTTTTCGAAATATTTTCAATTTTTTTTACTAAAAACTGCCGTAATTTTTTCAAAAATGAACATATGAATATAACTTTTTTTTATAGATGCTTGATGTCTTTACCTATCATTTGGTATATATTTTTTGTAAATTTGACCCTTTATCTGCCCACAGGGGGGGATTTAAAATGACAACTTTTTCACAAAAAATTAACTTTTTCAACTTAACTTTTGAAAATGTTACGGAAGGTCTGACACTTTTATATATATCTTAAATTAAAGCTAATGTAATATACTTTAATTTGAAAAAAAAAAATTTGACCTCTGGACTTGTCTTCATGGTGAAAACGGCTACCGAATGCTATTTTTGTGTGAAATTTCTCGATTTTATATTTTACATTTTTTACTTTAAAGTGCTATAACTTTTTAAAAAATGTATGGATCAATACAATTTTTTCATGAGAAGTAGTATTTATATACATCTTTCATTGGATATACTTTTTTTTTAAATCAGACTATTTCCCTATATATGGGGGGGCTTCAAATATAAAAAATGCATATAGAAAGTAGAACTTTTTCAACTTAACTTTTGAAAGTGTTCCGGAAGGTCTGACACTTTTATATATATCTTAAATTAAAGCTAATGTAATATACTTTAATTTGAAAAAAAAAAATTTGACCTCTGGACTTGTCTTCATGGTGAAAACGGCTACCAAATGCTATTTTTGTGTGAAATTTCTCGATTTTATATTTTACATTTTTTACTTTAAAGTGCTATAACTTTTTAAAAAATGTATGGATCAATACAATTTTTTCATGAGAAGTAGTNTTTTACTTTAATAGGCTATAACTTTCTGAAAAATGTATGGATCATTACAATTTTTTTATGAGAAGTAGTATTTACATAGATTTTTTTAAATCGGACCATTTTCCTTAATACAGGGGGGATTCAAAACATAAAAATGCATATAGAAAGTAGAACTTTTTCTACTTTCTATATAAAAACGGCTACCGAATACTATTTTTGTGTGAAAATTCTTTTATAATTTACATTTTTAACTTTATTATGCTATAACTTTTTGAAAAATATATGGATCAATACAATTTTTTATGAGAAATTATATTTTTTAATAATCTCCTTTTCATTTGACATACTATATCTTAATCAGGATATTAATAAGGAACTAGCAGATCATGTAGCTATTGGAATATACACCCATTTTTTAAAATTAAACACTATCTAAAGATTTGCATCGAAGCGTTTTTTTTTTATAGTGATTTTAATCACTGTCAGATATCATTATACTTGATCCAACTATGCTACGTCACCACTGTTCGGCGATCCCCCTGTGCTGGGTTTTTTAATTTAAAGACATTATTTGTTACCATATGATATATAAATATGGATAAAAATTCAATAATAAAAATTAAAAATAAATAAATTACAAAATTATGTGCATCATTAAAAATTATATTACGAAAAAAAAAACTTAATTTTGGTTTGTAAAAAAATTATTTTAACTGCAAAATCTTATTTTTAAGACGCAAAACAAAAGCTTTTACTATTAGAAAATGTACTTTAATTAATTTTTCTTGTATTTCTTTGAGCTCAAACACGACTTATATTTATTAGTTTTATGTGTATTTACATTTATATAATCATTTTTCTGAATTTAATTTTTTTATTATTAATATTACAATACATTTAATTATTATGATACGAGTATATACAATTATTCTGAATCTGTTGAACATTGATTTTTCTCCCAACAATATTTGCATACTGTTTAATATACGCAATGTATTTATTACATGTTTTATTCTTATTGTTCCGTATCATCGAGTAGTGGAAATTCTCAATAGATTATTTATTTTTAAAACTTAATTGCACAGTCGGTGGTAGATCCACATAATTACAATTCCACAATATTATATCGATTATAACATTGCATTAACGATAAAACGATATTTTGAAAAAAAAATACAAGTCCAAAAAAAAATTATACTGAGAACTTTTGATAACCATTCATAAGAGATTGATGAACTAAAATTAGTTATATTTATATAAAAAAATTTACATTATTATATGAGAGAATAGTGAAATAGTAGTTGTTGTTTACAAGTAATACAGAGTGATTCTTTTAACACTAGTCACTCAATTTCTCTTAAAAAAATCATTGTTTTTTAATTTTTTGAGTTACACACGCATCTGTCATAAAATATTTTTTATATTCATCTCTTATCTTTTAGATGGATGTCAACTTAAATTATTATAAACAAATTAAATATGTATGTTGCCTTTAAAAATTAAAATTATATAATTAAGAAAATGACTGGTCGATAACAAATTTTAAATCAGCATTTCAGAAGTTGTTAATAATTAAAATTAAGTACTAGAGGTATGGAGTGAGTGTTGCTATTTTTATCAATAAACATTTCTTAGCTTCACTTCTACTCAAGCCTAGGTATAAAAATGGTAACAACTTCTGAATTACAAAATTTGTTATCGACAAGTCATTTTCTTAATTAAATGTGTTTCTATTATATAAGCTAGTTAAATAAGACATAACGGATGAATATAAAAAATATTTTATAATAAATGGAGATACATGTGGAACTAAAAAAAGCCAAAAAAATAATTCACTAAAAAGTTATTGTTTAGGAAAAGTGATCGCCCGTGAAACAATCACCTGTATAGGAGTGACATTATTAAGGTAGAACTCGATTCCGTTATGACCTATTTTTTAAAATTTTTTTTGATACTTTAAGTTACTTTTAACTTCCCTTTGAAGCTAAAAGTTTCTCTGTCGCTACTTTTTCTCAGTTATCACCAGATCGATTTCTTTAAACAATACGTTAAAAGATCAAAAATTGTATCTAGTTAAAAACACTGCCCTTAAAAAATTTCTTCATTCCTTATAAGTGGGGAAAATCCTCAAAAAAATGTTGATATTTTAAACTTTTTTTTTCATTTAAAACTATTATAACTTTTTGAAAAATGAATGAACACAAAACAATTTTAAATAAATTCCTTACGTATTTCCCTTTTATTTGATGTAAATATTTTGAAAATTGACCGTTTGTCTGCCCGCAGGAGGAATTTAACAGCAAATTTATTTATTTAATTGAAATATAATTACACGAAAAGTTAACTTTTTTAACTAAACTTTTAATAATGTTCTGGAAATATTGTGTTTTTTTAAGATATGTTAAATTAAAGCATATGTTATATTTTATAAATTAATAAAAACTTCCTGACGACCTATCTATAGAAGATATGCAAGTGGCCGTCGCAGTTGAAAAACATGCCATTTTTGTGTTAAATCTTTTTTTTTTTATATATATATATACCTTATAAGGTTTTTCCATAATAATGTGGCTACCGATTTTTATAAGTTACATTAAATATAAATTTTTAGTATTTTGAATATTTTACCTCCTCTAAATTTAAGAAAAACGAATGAATTTTTGAACTAGCTTAAATTTTTTTTTAGCATTACATATATTGGGATGTACGGTTGCCGTGTAGAGGTAATTCTACAGTCTTTTGCGCTCGGGGTGCAAAGTTCGAATCTCATCCGTTTAAATAACTTTTTTTGCATTTTTTCTAATTATATTTAATATGGAAGAAATTCATTTGATTTTTATCTCATTTAGACTGAATAACAATGTATTTTATACATTATTATTATGAAATGTCAGGTTTTTCTCAACATTCCCATTCGGTCTTTTAACTTGTTTCATTTGTTTTCAAAAAACAACCAGGAAATCTCTATTAGATAGGCCGCACACTTACGAACTTTTTTAACATGCTATCAGTTTACTATCAATGACTGGCGATGATAGCGCTAAACAGTATCGCCAACGTTGCTCTTTAATGCGCGAACAATATACTTTCATAATACCAGAATAATGTGTGCTACAATTATATGTCATATTAATTTAACTTTTTTTTTAATTTGTCATTACGGTTATTTTTTAATTAATTCAATATGGAACAAAATTTCGCTACACTTTTTAAAAAAAATGTATTTATTTCATTTGATGTCATATGTGAAGCAGAAGATGATTCAGGTATACTTATTGAATATCCTGATAATATGAAACCAATTAATAAGTACCTTTAGATCAATTTACATTAATATACAATAATTGCTTTAATTTAATTTATATGCTTGATTTAAATATTTAATAATAAAACACAATAAATTATTATTAACCATATATTTTATTAGTATTCTCGAAAAATGTATACTTAAATTTTTACATTAAATTTAACTAATAATAGAAAATTATATAATTAATAAAATGACGAATGATTAACAACATTAAACCAGTATTTCAGAAGTGATGACAGTTTTCATACCTCGGTAGGATGGGTAGTTTGGTTAATAAATACACATACAATATGAAAACATTTAATCACCGATAACAATAGAATAAAAAATAAAGCTCTCTAATTGGCAGCAGTTTTGGTGGTGTAGGTCATTGTACAATTTTACATTATTGTGCAAATATTGTACGATTCCTCTATCAGTTACGAAAATTATCAATAAGATATTTCATAACATTTTTGTATTTTTACATTTTAATTAATTGAACATTAATTAATTATGAACAATTATAATTGTTATAACATATAACAATAATTATTGTTCATGTCATTATTTTTTTTAATTAAAAATATNATTGTTATAACATATAACAATAATTATTGTTCATGTCATTATTTTTTTTAATTAAAAATATCTATTTAAATATTAACTGACATTATAATTATTGTATGTGATTTGTATGAAAAGAAGTTTTGTGAAAGTTTATTATTTCATTCATTTTTTTATCAACAATTAGTTAGTTTTATCTATAATATGAAGCTATAACTTCTGGTAAGTACACTTGATGTATAATCAGAATTACATTTTAACTTTTTTGGATGTACTTGCTGTTATTTGTTTATCAATTAAGTAAATTATACATTATTTATTCATTCATAATAGAAAATTGTAAAAATTTAAATAGTTATTGTATATTAAATTAAACAAAAATTTTTATTTATTTAAATTGATATATTATTATAATGATAATAAATTCATGATAAATGAAAGAATAGTAAAAAATTAAAATTGTATAATAGTAAAAAAAATACAATACATAATATAAAGAATTCAATAAATTATTTTCACAATATTAGTATGATATAATATTGTTGAATTTTTCAACAATATAGTCCTCAATATAAAAAAAATATTCCATATACCTAGAAAAATTAATAATTTATTTTTAAATTAAATAGCCTTTGATAATTCCTTCCTTTGAATGAACATCTACTTGAACAAAACTTCACTAAAAATAGCATACCAGTTGGGTAGTGAAACACTTTAAAAGAAAGCGCTAAAATATAACACAAAATAAGATACTTGTGATCACACGAACGAGCAAAATACAAGTGTCATAACCTAAACAATTAACATAAATTGTATGTTAAATATATTGAAAAAAAATCATAAAATATTATAAAATTTTCTGGTAGTTTTAGAAAAACGCTATGCAATAATTGCAAACACCTAAATTTATCAATAGATACTTTCACAACCTCAGTTCATACGATGGTCATTTTTTAATTAAAGCAACAGAAGAAAAATATATTTCTTTTACAAAGTTTGTCTCAAACAAATTTATGGTTCGATTTATTGACACATTCCGTTTTATGAGGACTAGTTTGGCGGCTCTTGCTGAAAATTTACATACCACAGACATAAATTTATTTAAAAAAACAGTTAAGGCATTTTCAACTGACAATCTCGTCCTAGTGATGTGAAAAGGTGTGTATCCTTATTCATATACATTCTGATGGGAGGAGTTAAGTGAACAAAAATTTCTATCAAAAGCCGAGTTTTATGATGATTTAATTGAAACTCATATAGACAATGCTGAATATGAACACGTTTAGCGACATTTCAAGTGTCAAACGCTCAGTTTGCACTATGATCTGTATCTGAAAACTGATGCGTTTATACTAGCTAATAATTTTACTAATTTTGACGGTTATGTCTAAACAAACATTAATTGGAACCTGCATACTATTTTAAAAATTCTTTCTTTCGATGCTATGGTGCTGCATACAGGGGTGTTGCTAGATCTCATGAGTAATTATAAATAACAGCTTTTTATTGAGAGAAATATGAAGAGTGATGACGACTTCAGTTCTTAAGCATGCTGTTTCAAACAGAATAGTCCTCAATATGATGCAAGTCAATCTAAATCGGAAATAATATATTTAGATGTCAACAACTTGTATGGCTGAAGACTTTTAGTGGTTATATGTGAACGATGAAGCGAAAATTTTAAATACAGTAGAATTGTTACCTGTGAATCTTCCTATAGGGCTTGAAGTAACGCTGTTGTACCTGAAAAAAATTCACAATGCCCAAAGAGAAATTTAAACTAAAACATTCACCAAATTCATTAGTCAAAAAATGACTGTTTACTTTTGACCATAATGAAAACTATGTTGTACATTACCTCAATTTAAAACAAGCTATGGCAAACGGTTTAAAATTAGAAAAGGTAATTCATAAAATTATTGTTAAAAAAAAAATTAATAATAATATCTTGTTTTTAAATTACAGGTACATTAGATGTTACAATTTAAACAGTGTGGTTGGCAAATTATATTCAATTGAATACAAAGATGAGACAGAAAGTTAAAAATGATTTAAGAAAGATTATTTCAACTTAATGAATAGTACGGTTTTTAGTATATAAACATGTAAAATACGTAAACATAATTTCAATATGATCATATTGCACATCGCTAAATTAAGTAAAGTAAACTAAAGTAAAGTAATTTACAGAGAAATTAGAATAGGTACTATACATACACTTTTACTGGTTAACAAAAATATCTAACCAATCTAGAGTAAAATTTGAAAATTATTTTTGATATGCTTAATATTAAGACATTAAGATGTTCCATTTTAATCATTTCCATTGTTTTTCTATACAGTGACAATAATGTACAAATATTTTGGAAATAATAGGATTTGAAAATTTAAATAACCCTAATTTGAACAAAACAATATATGCTTGAAGTCAATATTTGAAATTCAATTTAAAAACATCATAAAAACCTTAAAAAAAAATTAATAAACAAATTTTTGTTGTAGTTTTAGCCTTCTAATCTTGGTTTAGTTCTATATTTTTATGTTAAATAATTTTATTATAATGATTAATGTAAAAATAAATGTTACATAAATTTTTTTAAGTATACTATGCAAAACATATTGTTCATAATAATTAATTTTATTTTCTTAATAAATATTTAAATCAAGCATGTAAATTAAATTAACACATTTATTCTGTATAGTAATGTAATTATAATACATATTTAACACAAGAAAATTAACTTATATGTACTTATTAAATGGTATCAAATGATCAGGATATTCAATTAGTTCGCCCGATTCAGGTTCCGTTTCACATATGACATCTAATTTTGTACAAAAATAAATTATTAAAGAGAGTTACGAAATTGTACTCCATTATGATTGAATAAAATAATAGCACATTATTTTATAACCGTCATGGCAATTAAAATAAGGAATGATGGTTTAATACGACCAATGGCTTTTTTATTACAATAATAGTATTATACATTATTCTGAAATTATGAAAGTATATACTTAAACAAAATAAAATTACTTTCATGTGAAAATAAGTCCTCAAAGAAAGAAATGAACTTGACCTATTATTAATTTTTTAAAAACTCAACCTTATTAATCTGTTATACACACATAATAAAATAATATTGTAAATATTATGTTTCTTTTATGTCTTGTATACTGTCCAGCTAAAGGCTAAGATTAAAGAATAAAATAAAATTTATTTATATTTTTTAGTATTTTGTAAAGAATATGTAATTTTTAAAACTTTTTTCTTTTATGTTTTGTGTACTAACCAGCTAATTGATTAAGTTTAAAAATAAAACAAAAAAATTTATCCATATACTTTGTAATAGCAAAACTATTAATTCACAGTTTATTAATTGCAATACGTAAATAACGAATGTGTTGTGCCGAAAGTTAAAACAATTAACTTTTATACAAGATGTTTATTTTAAAGTTAAAGCTGATTTAGATTCTCTTCTACCTTATCTAAAATGNAAGCTGATTTAGATTCTCTTCCACCTTATCTAAAATGTCTAATTATATATTTTTAAATCAAATAGTGTATCAATAACATTTCTGTAAAATAGTACAAGTCTGCATAATAATAAATTATCACAGGATGTAATTATTTGATTGTACCTTTATAAGATCTGATATATAAGATTTATACACATTTGAAGTAATATAAATGTCTTTTTTAATATAAACTTTAAAAAAATGCAAATATGTTATAAATATTCACTATTATACAATTTAAAAATAATTTGGCATTTGTACGTCGCCATGAGTAAATTTTTGAGTTCTCCAAAAATGTAATATATTATGGATAAGTATTATATATAAATATATAATAGTATATATAGTATGTTATATATATATATATAAAGGACTTTATTATAAATGTATAGTAATAATTATAAAATAATTACCTTCTTGTCTAATCCCTTCTTGTTTATCTACTTCTGTGGTATTTTGTATCATATTTATAAAAACATTTTGTGTAAAATCTAAACATATTAAAATAGTAATTAGCTCAATTTTTAAAACTTATTTAAATAAAAAATAGATGTACAGTAGTGTAATAGGAAAACTTTACCATGTTGCTGAATCGTTTCTTGCATTACTACTTCATTGTTATGTTGTATTAAGTTTAAAGAAGGATTTTTTGCAATATCTAAGTATTATAACGTAAAATATTTTTCAAATAAATTTTTTATTGCTCACACATATTAACAATATACCAATAAAGTATTGGTAGGCTGTATTACATTCAGTGTTGAGAAGGAACTAGTTCCAAAAGGAACGGATTCCTGGAACGAGTTCTTTTTGAAGGAACGATGCTAGGAACTGCTTCCTTTTAAAATAAAGGAACGAGGAAAATGAACAAATTCCATTTTTTAAGGAACGTGAACGGAAATTACAGTTCCTAAAAATTTTTATAAACATGTTTTAGTGTAGTTTTCTTCGTATCTAGACATTAAAATATTATGGTATTTTTAGTTGACTTTTGACAATTGTAGTCCTCTATATACCCAGCTGAGATCGTAGGTTGTTTAAATGAATCAATTGACTATAGATAGTTATTATCACATATAGGTATACAGTAAATATTTAATATATGTGTACATATATTAAATAATGCACCGAATATTATCGTCGTTTCTTGTTAACTAATTTATGTTAAAGGTTTTGGGTTTTCTGATTTATTATTTCTAACTTATATGTAGACAATAGACATTGGTCGCGTTGACACAAGTCGTTAGCATTTACTACCTGCTTATAAATATAATTTTCGAATACTTTTAGATAAGGAATACTACAAATTTGTTTTGTATTCGACTGCTGATGAAAATCATTGATGACCGTTATCATGATCTCATTGCCACAATTTTTTAAATAACTTGGTTACATAAAAGGAACGAAGAGTGGAACGAGTTCTTATTTTGGAGGAACTGGATCTGGAACAAGTTCCTTCTTAATATAAAGAACTAGGATCTGGAACGAGTTCATATTTTAGAAAATGAACGGGGAACGGAACGA